CAATCATCCAAATGGCTATTTCTCCTCAAAAAACAAAAAACAAAAAGATTTCACTTTATGTCGGTAGAAAATAGTTTAAGTGATAGCAGAAACAAAAACAAGAAAAATAGCGGCTAATCATTGATTATAAATATTTAATAAATAATATCAACTAATACTGTATCGTTTGCAGCGTATTTGAAAAAAGTAAGCATCACAATAGTAAAATAATATAAAGACTTAAGTAAAACAACAAGATTACTTCGCATAAAATACAGGCTCCAAAGAAAATTTTATTTGAAAATTTTACGGTACAAATAGAAGTTTTAAATAATTTAATTACAAAACTCTGTGGTTTATTTAGTGAAGAACCGACTAAATGGAAGTGTTATTTTGAAGAATTGTTATTGTTGAAGAGAAGACAACAATTCTTAGCCGTTACACAACTAATGTTAGCGTTTACAGACGTCAAGACTATGTGGGTAGCACAAAGCTGGAAACAAGAGCCAGTACAAGTGTATTGCCTGAAGAAACAGGTGGTTGCAGGGTGAATTGAGAAATTCTGTTTTCTATGAGGGATCAGAAACGAAAAAGTTCAAGTGGACAGTGAAAAATAGCAAGAAAAAACTAACGCAAGGATATCGGCAGTGAAGTGTTGGAAGCTTAAAGCAAAAGGCTATTGAACTTTACAAAAAGAAAAAAAACAATTCCCGTAAGAGTCCATCTGTTTTGCAAATGTGTTTCTGATAATACACACACAACGAATTTACTACAGTCCATCAATCAAACTGTTCTGTACATTCTCACCTTTCCTCGCTTAAATATTTTCGCTGCTTTAGTTTTTTTTCGAAACTGCACTGCTGTTTACCACTTTATGGTAACTGAGCAATTAGGAAATGAAAAACAAACACTGTGATAAACCACTCGCCAAAAAATACATCTAGAAGTAAAAAAAAAAACGTTGGAGAAAATCAGCACCGAGAAAGCTCAAAAAAATCTAACAGCATTTACCACCAGTCAGTAAAAGTCTCAGCAAGTTTTGAATAATAAACCTTTTTTTTTTGCTTTTTAGGTTTTAATAAAATTACTGCGAATGAAAGGTGAAAAGAGTTAAACTAAATAGAATTTCAACAGAAATTCGACATTTGGACAGTGTAGTAATCCATCTTCCGAAAGTTACGATATGGAGGTATGAGTTCTTATGGTTGGTAAATTAAAAATGCTCCGGAACAATCTTTCTGAATTGAAGCAGAAGAAATCTTATACAAAAGCAAAGACAGAACGACAAATATAACAGTCGGTTCCCAGCAAAAATCACGTTATCATTAAAAACTAACCAATAAACTGTAAGTAAAAAAAGATACATAAAGTGTGAGGCTCAACTTGATGACATATACCACTTCATTGGTAACACCGATGATAATTACAATGCAGAATAAACGCCTATTGATAATTGCCTAATGAATTCATTCGGGAAAGAAAATAAAGTGCTTAACACGGATATTCTGGGAGGTGACCTGTGACCGGCAAACGACATCACAACGCTGTTTCGTGTAACAAACACAGCGCTGCTGCACCGTCGCCTACCCATTCCAGTTGATCATCCTTCTGTCCTTTCAGTTTTTGCCCATGTACAACAGAAGTTTTCAAAGCTTTCAAAGGCAAAAAAAAATTTTTTTTGGCATTTTTTGATTTTTTATACCACTTAAATGATGCTGACTAAACATCTAAGATAATTTTGAGTGACCGTTGGCTGCTGGACAACAACGGTTCAAGCGTACAGACAGCGATTTACAGAAATGTACTTTTCGGTTTACTCAAGCCCCTTCTTGCTCATACTTCAATCAAAATTTTATCTTGAATTTGCAAAACAAACGCAAAAAAAAAAATGCAAAATGCATATCATACTTATCACCCTCTCTAGTGCTCTATGGTTTTAACACTAACCCATCATTGGTTAGACTCACCATTCATTCCGAATTTATGGCTATAAATATTTTCGGTTTATCACTATGTAAACAGCAGAAATGTAAAGATCTTTGACACATTTGACCACAAATATGATGAAGAGGTCAAGCTTTACAAATCTGATTTGTTAAGAAGGGAAAACAAAACAGATTTTTATATATGCGAATTCTTTACGTTCTCAGAAGAAATAAAATAAAAATACCAAAAAAATAATTTTAAAATAATATTATGTGAATAACAAAAAAATTTATTGAACTATAAGACATTTGATTCACTGTACTAGTAACAAGTAGCAAATTTGCTAAAGAAGCATGCTTAGTATTGGTGGCTTGGTAACTTTCAGTTTCAGTTACCAGATTACCTGACCGAAAATGTAAGTGTTGCCGTCTCCTGTATGCCGTAACACCTGATTTCAGCAAATTTTGCTTCGTTAAATACTGTTTTACACTGTTTAGCAAATATATTAACTTGTATTTCGAATTCGTTCTTCCAATAGCCTGTATCTTATTTCCCCTAATAAAACCAATCTGTAACAAATTCATTGAAATATCCATAAAATAGATCATATTTTACACTACCTCCTTTATAAACGGTAACTAGTTTTACTGGTGCAGAAAATGAACTTTCTTGAAAAAAAAAAGAAAAAGTAATATTTTCAGAATAGTGAAGTTGACTTAATTACGCGTGAAATTATCATTCTGATATAACTTGCACTAGTTTACTGTCACGGAACTGCTCGATCGTTTAATTCAATTTTGACACCGTGTAACTTAAAATATTCTTGTACTATCCGAGCTAGTTTTAGTACAGTGTTGCTTTTAAATTTTCAACAGCTACATATTCCTAAAACTAGGCATCGTAAATACAAAATGAACAAATCAACTCAAAGACTTGTTTCGGCAAAAAGCAACGGCAGAAGATTTAGTTTATAGACTGCTGAAACTTTGAATCAAAAACTTCCATTTGACGAACTAGATAAACATCAATCGTTACAGGTAGGCATTAGCCTAATAACTAAGTTATTCAAGACGTCAATAGGTTCTTTGAGACAACGTAACCATTTCCAAAAACTTTACAGAAAAGTTCAGCAGTTTTTACTTCAAATAGCGTAAACTCATTCAAACAACTATTACTAGAAACCTGAAAGACAACAATAATCGGTAGTAATAGTAGTAGTATTAGTGATGATGATACTGATATTAACAGTACTAGTCTTAAATAAATATAAATATAAATGTAACTAGCCACAGTCTTTCATAATATCAATGTATTTCTGCATTTTGCACCATTAATAGTAGGTCTTCTGAACGTACCATTTATATACTTTACCATGGAGCAGAATGGCTTATACAAAGAAATTCAAAATTAGGTACTTTTGCTTGGTTTTGAAAGTTTGCCGTTTTAAAGGCTAAAAGTAACTTAATTAGCAAACGCAACATTTTTAAGTAACTTTGAACGAAAAATGTTAAGAAATGATGAAATAAAATTTGGAACGTACATATCACTCAGATAATAGATGTGAAAAAGCGTTGTCCGTTATCACCAAAGTGGGAGGAAAAATTTTGAGAATTGAGTATCAAAATACAGTGGGAAAACAAGTTTGTTCACACTTTATTCTATACTTTCAAACAGAACAAAGAGAGTATTCGTAAGTATGGCAAAAGAGGTAATGAATTCCGCAAAATATGTTCGACTTTTCAGTTTTGTTAATACACTGTCGATGTCAGAGTTCCACTGCTATCTATATCAAACTTTTCAACAACGGCCCTATTTTGTAACTTTTTGGGAAATTCAAATTTTCTCATTTAGTTTGGGAAGAAAAATGAGTGTAGTAGTTGAAGCAATTCAACAAGTACAAATACAGTTTTGGAGATCGGTCAGAAAGATTCAGTGACAAAACTTTGATAGCGATACTTGAAAAGAGATAGTCAGTAGTGTCTTTGTGAGTTCAGAGCTTGGAAATTATTATTAATTTTGAAGTTACTTCTGCTTCAAACTTACGGAATTCCAGCTTAACAAGCAGTTTTCAATATAAAGTGAAAAGGATGCGGTGGAACTTCAAGGAGAAGAAAATACGGTCAAGCTCAGTAAAAATTGCGTATAACTGCATATTTATTTCTGAAAGTGTCATTTTAGAGGTTGGCAAGCCACAGAAGCAGCATGTGCTGGAGCAAAGGGGGCAGACTCGGATGGCCTTGTCAATGGTCTCAACTTGTCCAATTTATTGGTTACCGTGATGTAGTTTGGCTTTTCTCCGTCGTAAATTCTACTTTTTTCGCTCGCTTTCTTGAGCCTTCAATGCACACCGTAAAATAATTATTTGGGTACACGCATTTTATACGGCATCTTACTCATTGCTGGAGAAGATTAAATGAGTTCAGGTCGAAAGAAGCTGTAAAAAATTGAGCTTGAAAAAATTTGTAGCTGGGGAGCTTCGATCGGATAGGAATGAAAAACAGGCAGGCCATAGGATGAGCGCACCTTCTTTGACTAAACGAAAATGGTTAGAATTTACGATACTTGCGAATCTGTAGACTTATTTAGCTGATAATTGCATTAGTAGACTTGTGAATGAAGGCAAAAAAGTTTTGAAATTCGGTTTTTTATTCTTCAAAAAAAAGTGAAATGATTTCTGAAAGAGGAAAGGGCGAATCAAATGAGCTATTATAAAAGTTGGAAAGAAAACTTCTGCATTTTAACAATTTTTTTAAAAATATTTTTTTTTTACTGATACATCTTTTCAGTTTGTCGTTTTAGTGGAGGTTTTTTGCACCATAAACAATCTTTTTTTATAACTGTTTCATGGTTGTTGCTAATGACTGGACTGCAATGAGAAAAGTGATTTCAACTTTTACACCCGTCCAAAAAGTGAAAAATTTTCCTAAACGGACAGTTTAACTTTGGACCAACAGTAAGCAAAAGATGTTAGTGGCAAAGACATTAAAAAAAAGGCGATATATAAAACAAAAACTTATTAACAGTCAATTTGTTGATGTAGTTAATATCGCCGATTTAAAGTACCCTGACTGCATTTAAGTTTGGTGGTGAGGGATCTGCATTGTTTGCTACCCCTCTTTCATTCAACATTCTTGTATTAGTAGACGGCGACGTGTAAGTCGAAGATTACAAGCCTTTATCTTCATTGATATATTGAATAAAACTTTTGTTCTAATTTTTTGAATCTTTTGTTTGTATTTTAAGAGTGCAGTTTCATATTTTGTTTGTTTTGGAATTTTTTGCTCAGTTTATACTGATGTTCATGAGATGATTTTTTACTTCTTTTAGATGGTAGCATTTAATCGCTTGTTAACTAATGCAAAAACTGTGGAAAAAATATTTGTGCCTGATCACCGTGCAGCATGCTGTCCGCCGTTCAAAATCCTAACTACCATCACCTTTGTAAGTGTTTCCAGCGAAAAGGTGGTTTGTAGATTGGCAGAGGATGAATACTACTTCAAAGAGTTGACAGCAAAGCTGAATTGTTATTACAAAAACCCCAATACACGAAAGCAAGTAGAATTGGTGAACATCTTTAGTTGAATTGTTTTATTTCATTGCTTAAAATAGCAAAAATTTTTAAGATTATGGAATGACATTTTTGTGGTCGTTACTTCAGGTAATTAAAGACGAGCTGTATGTCGCAGAATTTAATTCCACTTGGTATCGAGTTCAAGTGCAATATATCAATCGTAACAATAATACCTGCGACGTTCAATTAATTGATGAAGGCTATGATGTGGAATTACCACTCAACTCAGTGTTTGCCCTCAACGCTCAATTCGTCGATGAACCATACGACAGACGTTATAGCACACAGTTTTCAACACCACTAAAGTGTAAGCTTTTTTCGCTTTCAATCTGAAAAACCTGCTTACATGTTTAGCCCAAAGTTTTTTTTTTAAAGATGTGATTATCAATTATACTTTTCCGTCACTTTAAATTTACTTTCTGCCAATTTTTCTGCAGCTAGGTTATTTTCTACTGTTTTAGAGCTGTTGAACTTTTTAGTAGTCATCGCTTCTTGGTTATTTACTTCACCCGTCCCTGACTTTCTGCAATTTTGCTGGGAAGAGCATTGGTGATGAGGTAGTATGACGAAACTGAAAAGAAGAAATAAGCTCCAACTTGCAGTCTCCTGAAAAGTTGTGTTTTGAAATCTTTATGTTGCAGAAAGAACTTGTTGCAGGCTGGACAACTTTAAAACAAGCTGGATTTTTGGACTGCAGTAGCATTCATAGAGGAGACATGTTAGATGCATTTGTGCTTTCAGATGCGGAACCGTTCTTAGCGTTTTTCAAACGCAGTGCTACTTTTGGTGCACCTATATATTTTTTTGGTAACTAAAATGTTTGCTTTCCGACTACTAAAATTTACATTATTATGTTTTTAAACGAACTATTCTTTAACTACGTAAAATTTGGTACTGTGATTCATAGGTTAATTTATTTATGGACTTGGTAGTTCAACGTAGAGGATTATAGGAATGTTTAGTGTGCAAATTATGTCTTTCAGGTAATGCAGCGAAAGATAAGAAAAGTTCAAAAATTTTTTCATGGGCACCAAAAAGCCTCTTGAGAACTGAAGGACAATACAATTGCTTCAGCCATTCACTTACTTTGGGTACACTCAGAAATAGGGCTAAGCAGAGGAGCCCAATTCTACCCAGGCCAAAATTTTTTGCTCGCTCTGTCATTAGTGAAGGACCGAAGTCTCCTTTTTGTACTTCATTTAGTTCAACGGATACGCTTGGACACAAAGCCAGTACAGTTAGTGAAATCATGGCAAAAGTAATTTTTGATAGCTGTGGCTAATCTACTAGAGATATCTTGTTTTTAGATGAGGAGCTCTGGGCAAAGTTCTTGGGATGACACCTCAACGTTTGGAATGGCCGAAAAACCATTCACGAAATCGCTGATGCATGACAGGCGCGGAGAAGTTAGATAATTTTTCAATAATTATATTTATTTCCACAATCAATGGGTTCTCTGTTGATAAAACAAGTGTGTTGGCGTATGAAGTTAGATCGACTGTAGATTCTTTGTTTTCTTTTCCCCATGATTTACTGTTTTGTGTGAGATTTTTTCAGTTCAAGGGAATTAGCAGTTTTGGTAGTTCTCGGCCAGTGTCAGATCTAAATGAATTAAACTGTTGCCCCATTATACGCGAGCTGGAAGTAATTGTTGCAGACTTCTTTTTTTCTCATTTTTCTTATTGATAGTAATTAAAAAACCTTTTTTAGATCAAGCTTAACGCTAAAGTTTTGAATGCGAATAGTCCTTGTGAGTTATACATAGAAACTGAAGGAACCAAAAAAGAAACGGGACTACTGAGACAACTTTTAAAAAGAGCCACAACGGTTTGCTTCATGAAGCTCTGTTTTATTTGTAATCCTTAATCTTACATTCTTGCGTGGTGACCAAGCAGTTTTAGAGAAGTTTAAAAAAAGTCAATCCAATTCACCTTTCAAAGGGCGATATGTTGTTGTATATGCCAACCGATGTGGATCCACAGAGAGTGCGCATTAAGGAGAAAGGAGTCGATGGGCTGTCTTTGTTGTGTGTTGATAATGGCGAGGAACTATTTCCTGATAGTGAGGAAACAGGGTTTTACAGTTTGCCTCCTGAGGTCCGATAATTTTTGTTTTAGGAATGGATGTTGGAAGCTTTAGCAAAGTTTCTGAGGGTGGGTCAAGGGAAAAATTTTTTAGTTATGATAATTCATTATCTAATTTTGTTAGCTGGAGCTGGATCGGGTCAGGCCTGCTTGCCTAGGACCACTGAAGCTAGACGGTCAGTGGTCGGCAGATTGGATGACAGTAAATTCTTCAGTCCGACTTAGAGAACTTTGTGAAACAGTCGACTTTATACGTTTCGTTGGTGGCGATCCGGAAAAGGTAACATTGCTCGATAAAGAAGGAAACAGCATCAATCAGATATTTGCCGATTACACAAAAACATCTCCAGCGAAATGGCGTAAAGCTTATGTTGGAGATGTATCGCAAGATAGTGTTTCAAATGTTTCTTCAGTGCAGTAGACAGTATTTTCTGTGGCGGCGTGAAAGCATTAACCTCAATAATTTTTGTCTGTAAAGCTTATTTATTCATGCGTTTTTCTTCATGGGCACTTAAACTACTTACGATTTTTTTACAGTTTTTTTATCCTTTCCCACAACCGATGTTTATATTATTCACGTATGTGATCTTTTTGTCTACCGTTGCATAAAGTAAGCAAAACACAGTAACTCGCTGACACTATTTGAAGAAACAGCCTAACAAACATGTAAAAGCTTCGTAAAGAATTATGTCAGGCAGAAGTTATTTGAAATGTAGCAAAATTTTATAACCTTTGGCATGCTGTTGGGTATCGAAGGATAAGTTTTATCTCTGGTATTCATTCGCTGATGTTGTCTTTTGCTTGGCTATAGTGTTAAGGTTTTTGATAGCAATCATGCAGATAGATCTCCCAACAGTATTAGTAATTCTAAGCGACTTTGCCATTGACGCTTCAAGAAGGCTTCGAAGTTTTGCTCGAAAAGGAGTTTGTGTTGCTGGTGGTAAATTTAAAGCAGGTTCAATTACATTATTGCCACATGATGCCTTTAGAACACGAGTGCATACTGAGGGTCAAAGCGCTTTATTGACAACTCGGGTTTATTTCTCGACACATCTACACAAGTAAAGCGCAGCAAAGTTGCTTACAGTGCTCAGATAGAGCTTTAGTTTTTACAGTTTATTTGTAAAGGAAAAGAGGCAGATTACAGCGAAATGGCTTTGCGCAGGAGTCACTTAGAACAGTCCGGAATAATGTTGTTTTTGAATTGGATGTTCTGCTGCCCAAAAACTATAATGATATTTTGTAATACTTGGTGACACATTACTCACGTGCAACTACAGTTGCTCGGCGTGGTCTCGGATTCCGTGAAATATCTAACCTACGCCGCTCTAGAAAATCCTTTACTTTTTTTATTGCTCTTGTGAATAGCTGATGACAATTCTAAAACAATACCAAAAAAGTAGTGACTAGTTTGGAAGGAACAGTTGTAAGTTTGCTTCACGTCCGTGAATTTAGGACACTCGGCGTTTCTGCCGGTTTACTCGGTGGAAGCATAGTGTAGAAGGTTCATACTGGTTGGCACAAATTATGAATGAAACAAGCTTGTATACATGTATAATAGTTGAAGTTAGAGCAGGCGTTTAAGAAGTGACAGATTCCAATGACAGAAGTGACGAGTAGACTCCATAAGATATGTTTTAGTCTTTGCTGAAATTGTATCACTAAGTCGCAAAATATGGTTCACTGTTTTGTCCGTCCCTAAGGAATCTTTTTAAGGTCTCGTTAAATCACTGGCTATGTTTTTAACAAAGCGTGTCGGAAGTCCTAGCACTTATGGCATTCCAACTTAACGCCTTAGTATTAATCGGTCTCCGCATTGCTTTCTTCTGTCGAAGTTTTCGGCACTGCCTATATGAAAAAGATGGTAACTCCTGGGTTCGAACTGCTAATTGCCGGATGTGCTCGCATGCTAAAATGACCATTGCTTGTTTTCTATCCTCACCGCGTTCCCTCGCTGTCCAAATATGGCATACGGTAATCACGGAAAAATGCTACGAATGCCGTTTAAAATTACAATCTTAAAAGGATTTGCATGTGTTGCGCTAAAGGGTGCCTCATAACACCCTGATATCAATTTATTTGCAGCGTGACTCCATTCTGAGGGAACGATCGGAAAAAGCCGATACAGTTTTTGTTCAACATTCGTATTGTTAGCACTTCTAACGCCTAATTTGTGGTAGCAGTTTTTGCGGATTGACATTCCGAAAATATAGGGTTTGGTAATCTGGTAAACAAACTTTGTTGCTCTGTAACGAGCATTTTACTAGCAGCGGCTGATTAGTCTGTTGAAATGCCTTTTGCGAGCATTGCGATAAATGGCTGCTGTGTTCCACCCTAATTGAAGATCTTCGGCTAGATTTCTTTAATCTCACCGTTCGTTTGATATTGTTTCTTTTTTTTTTTCTTTTATTTATTTATTTTCTTTTAAAATCTCTTTAACTTTCAAGTAACAAGTTTAAGACGGTGATTTTTGCTTGGTGGTGGAAATATAAGATGATGCGTATTTGTTATATTTACTATAAAGGATCACCAGTGAAAGACTAGTGAAAACATTAATTTTTTTTTTTTTTTTTGGAGGTTGGGGGATTTTGAAGATTGCATATGCGTAAACAACAGTTATAATCTCATTTGATCTGCTGTTTTATCTTTTTTTAAGGTTTAAACATTATTTTAGTTGTCCAAGTGATCGGTAACTATCTGTTGCCTTAAAGTTTTTGAACAAAATGTAGGGAGGCCAAGAACAGTATCTTGCGATTGAAGACAACGTTGTTTGGAGTTTTCTCAAATTATTTGAAGTGCTGTTCTAAACACTGTTTTACTTTGAAGACTGAATGAAGTGTTCGTAGTCTTTGCCATTCTTCAGGGATTTTCATGGAATTTCTTAAATGGTGAAGGCGAAAAAAGTTCAATTTACGGGTTGGATAAGACGTATCTGATCGTTAAGTCATATTTACTGAGAAAATTTTCCTTTTGTTACTTAACTTACAACTAGATTTACTACAAGATTAACATTTCTGAGCCGGTTCTGTTGCATTTATAGGGGATAAGTCGGTAGATGAAACTATATGGTAAATACACTTTTTTGCAGACTTAACGGTCTTTGTGGGGAATGCAGATCTGGTGTTAGGTCGTTATCCGGCTCTTTTTGGCTTGTATCGGTCGGGTTTCATCATGACAAAGGTGCGAGAGTACCTCTGCGTTATTGCAGTTTGGTGTCCCTGAAAATTTTCTGACCCCTGGTATATCTCTGAAATACTTAGTTTTGTCCTAATTCTGCCTAGAGACCATCGACCTTGTGACCGTTTACGGTTTGTGTTTAATAGCGTTTTAGATTTGTAGAATTAAGTTGTAATTTCTTAATTGTCTTCGTTTATTAGTTGTAGCTGCATCAGTAGATAAGAAAAGAAGAAACGATTTTTTGTGCTCTGCTTTACTGCTCAGTCATTTTTTTATTTCTGTTGTCATCATTCAAAGGTTTGTTTTGGTTAGCTCAATTTCGTTCGGCTTTTTTGTTTCTGGTCCAGCTCAATCCAATTTAGTGTATTTTATTTTAACTTTGCCTTTTTATATTTCACGACATTTGGTCTCATTATTCTCTTTGTTGAAACCTTTGGTTCTACAAGGGTTTTTTCTTTCTATCGGTATTTAGGAAGCGTGAACTGGACGTGTAATTGTAATACTGATTTCGAAGCGTTTAGGTCTCTTGTGTGGCATGTGTTCTGAGGAGTCGTTTACTGATTGCACAGCAAATTTTGGTCCTCTAATTATGGATCGTGAGAATACTGAGACTTTTTTTACTTCATGCTTGGAGAGTACGCAACAGTGCAATAATTTAAGGAGAAATAACTTTTGTAAAAAGTACGGCTCAACGTTTTCCTTCACTCCGCTTTTTTCATCAAAGTATGTGTGTTTTCTTCTGTTTTTTTTCTAGGCAGTCGACATGGGATTCGTCAGGAAGTAGTTTTTCATCGGATTTCCAAAACTTCAAGGATGGTCAGACAAAGACCACTTGCAAAAGTAAATTTTTTTGGATTTGTTAAAGTCACTTTTTATAGCGTGTTGGAGTATTCTTACTTCTTACAACATTATTTTGCGTTTAGAAGTTTTTGAAATTTTAGCTGCTTGTAAAGGGGAATGTTTTTTGGTCCATTGTCTATCTTTCCTGAGGAAAAGTTTTTTTTAAGGTAGCCAGCTTACTCCCTACGACAGTAACTTACCTTTCATCCCTTTCAGCGACTGGTTGACAAATTATCAGGTGTGCATGGAAGTAAGCTTTCGACGATTTTTGGTTTACCCCCTGTGAGAAAAGTATGTTGAGCAGAAAGAATTTCAGACTAAGTTGGTTGCGCAGAAAAACGGTAACACTTACCTCTATTACGCATGCGAAGCAAATGAAAACCAAAAGAAGCTCTATGAGCATCTTGCTGATGAGATGAAGTAACTCTTTTTTGTCATTTTTATTTTCTAAATTTTTACTCTAATTTTTGATTTTTTTCTTTAGACGGGAACCCGAAAGTTTAATTTTTGCACTTTCGCACTTCATTACCCGCCTAACAAATTTATCTTACCAAATGCAACATGGGAATTTCGTGGTTATAATGTGTCCAAGTTTTTTAGAGAGTTTTACAAATCTTTTAAAGTTGCTGAGGTGCAGATGCGAAGCGATCGAGTTAAAATTGGGCAGTACTGTATGTTATGTTCAGTCTCGGATGTGGCATTCGACTTTGTTTTCAAAAGAGGGAAGATTCTTCAAGTGAGATAGTTTTTTGATTTTTGGTAATTAGAAACAATGGCAGGTGAAATATGTATGGTTTTTTCTGCCGAGAACTTTAAGATACGCGATGATGGGGATATTTACGTGGAATGTTTGGATGATTTAACTTTTGCTTATGCAAAACCTCAGGCAATATTCGAATTAGATGTTCGTTTCACTAAGCTCCCTTTTCGGTACGCTCCGGTGCGCTTCAGAGCTTCTCAGCATGTTGTTCAAGATGTTTTTGATATGGTTGAGGTATCAATTATTGAACTGCAGTTTGCATTCTGAGTAACTTTTCCGAATAGGTGTCAATATTGTCACGTTTATTTATTTAGGAAGTGAGGTTTCAGTGCATTTCTGCCATAGAAGAACAAGGAAAGAGTCATAATGTACTCGTTGTTGGTTTTGACAAGGTTTGCATTTTTTGCATTTCTGCGATAACTTCCTTACCATCAAGTAATCTCTGTATTTTGAATTTCGGAATTCTGAATATATGCTTATATTTTAGGAGACGCAACAGTTTGTTATCGACATCGTTATCATGGTCGAGGAAAGGCGTTATTCTCTATTCTCTCTGGAAGTTGCTTATCTGCATGGTAAATTAAAGCCATTAATACTTCTTTTTGGTCACTACATTTATCATCCTTAGAGGGGTACGTTTTCCGTACTGGGAAAACTTTTTTGTTTAGTTGTTGATATTCTTCGATAATGTTGAGCTAGACGACTTGTTAAAGGCATTTTTTATAATGCGTCAAGGTAGATAAATACCTGAAGCTAGCATTGAAACAAGAAGTGAATAAAACTGAATCATTAAACTCTTATTTAAAGAGAAAAATTAGGAAGGACCAGGTTGAGTATATAAAAGATCAGACGATAGGATACGATTTACTTCATCTCATAGGAGTTGGCTTAAAAGTGTAGTTATTTCCGGAGTTTTTCAACACTACGTTTTTGTTTTAGGAGTCCCTTATAGGGACGAATTTGAAAAAGAGGTATGGAATCATTTCGGGAACTTCGTACGGAAATTAGCTGGTCATGAATAACAACCTTCTTTCATACTTTTTATGCTCTTCACTCTTATAACAGCATAATTATTTGCACTTGCAATTTGCAGTGTAGCATGACGTTTCTAATGTACTATAGTTGTTGCAGTTTTATCTGTATGTGTTATTAACAGCTTGTAGCTTCTACTTTTCTTTTCATTTTTTTTTCTATAAGACACGTTTGTTAAATCTTAGGAGGAAAGAGCTGGATTTTGTGTTCTACATAAAGTTTTTCGGTTATATAATTGAGTCGATTTCTTTTAGCCTTTTAATTTGCATCTCATTCTGTGTTAACACTAGGTGGAGCTTCTGGAGATGAGTGAGAGTAAGCTAGAAGTGGTGTTTTGTCTCATTTTCTAGCGAGGTTGAAGACCAATCGAAAGTTACCTGGCAAGAGGTTTGGCAAAATGATACTTGTGTTTTGTTTGATCGACGTAGTCATAAGTCCGTGTCTTTTTGCTGCAGGAGAAATCTAACACTTGCTCCCGTAGCACCTCCTTGTGGCTGTGTCGCCTCCCAACTCTTTTAGAGTTTTTCAGGTAACGTTTGATGGACTTATTGCATGTCCTGATGCACTACATCAACTTGATGACGACTATAAGTGGTGATTTTCATTAGGGCGCCTTTGATTTGACAAAGAAACCTAAGCAGTTGCAATATATTTGTTGACGGAGTTCATAGGCCAGGGGTTTGTGGTAGATATATGTGGCTCAGATTGGGAAAGGCTTCGAAAATAAGCTTAATATAAGCCAAGCAGTAGTGAGTCAGAGCGAGATACGCTTGGCTAAATTAGAAATTCAGATTGGTAAAAGCAATCTTTGAGAATAAATGCAGTTGGAACTGCTCTTTGGACGGATGTAATGTAAGGAGGAACTAGGAAATTGAGTCCCCTA